AGAGCACACGTGGGGGAGGGGCGGAGAGAGAAGGGGACACAGAAACGGAAGCGGTCTCCAGGCTCGGAGGTTTCACCCACTGAGCCACCCGGGCACCCCTCGGCTGGGCTTTTCAACAAAAAGATTAATAAGGGAAAAACAAGGTACTGACCCATCACATGGGAGAAGCCAAAACGAAGAGGAAATCCAAGGGGATTTTAGAAAGCCAGCCTACTTAGCATCTTCCACAATGAACAATACTTTTGGAGAGAAGTAACAGCAGAAGGAAAAGCAGGTTTAGTCTTCTTCCAAAGGTGGCGCTCTGTGGGAAGCTAATGGAGTACGGTTTGCTTTCCAGGGGCTAATAAGAATTGGTGTAGTGAAAGGAGAATTTATATCTTTAGGTGGAAAAGGTGGAGTAGGGTGAGTCTCTCCCGTGTTCATTGCTTCCTGATTGCTTTCGGTGCAGAATATTTTTTATGTCAAAGAGACATATTTGGGGATACGCATTCTGGTTTCCTTCAGTTTCATGATCACAGTAAAAGGGGAAAGGTGTCTTTTTAAAAAACTGCTTATTTATTTATTTCTGAGAGAAAGAGAGAGAAAGAGCACAAGTGGAGGATGAGCAGCGACAGAGAGAGAAAATCCCAAGCGGGTTCCGTGCTGCCAGCGAGGGCCGGAAGCGGGGCTCGATCTCACGCACCGTGAGACCACGGCCTGAGCCGAATTTAAGAGTTGGTTGCTCAACCCAGGTACACAGGTGCCCTTTCCACATTTACTTTAATTATTTCTTTTTTCACGTTTCGTTTTGGCATTTTCTCTCTCCCCCAAATCTATTGATCCTCTTTTATCTAAGTTGATAAATGCATGGGTATTTCACTTTGTTAGGACTGCCCTAATGAGGCACCACAGACTGGGTGGCTTAAACAACAGATATTTATTGTGTCTCATTTCTGGAGGCTGGAAGTCTGAAACTAAGGTGTTGGTGGGGTTGGTTCTTTGTGGGGGCTGTAAGGAAAGGATCTGTTCTAGGCTTTTTTTTTTTGGCTTATAGTTATCACTATGTTGATAGGACATTATCCCTGTATGTGAGTCTATCTCCAAATTTCCCCTTTTAATAAGGACATCAGTCATAATGGATTGGGGTCCACCCCCACTGACTTCATTTTAATTTAATAAAGACTCGATCTCCAAATGAGATCACAGTCTGAGATACTGGGGGTTTGGACGCCAACCTATGAGTTTGTGGGGGGCAGAATTCAACCTGTAACAACTGATGAATCATTTTCAAAATATTTCATTAAATTTTCATATTTATGGTTTTTAAATGTTTATTTATTTGTGAGAGAGAGATAGAGAGAGCAGGGGATGGGGTAGAGAGGGAGGGAGAGAGAGAATCCCAGGCAGCTCGGTGCTGTCTGTGTAGAGTCTGACTCTGGGCTTGAAACTATGAACTGTAAGATCATGACCTGAGCTGAAATCAAGAGTCAGATGCTTAACTGCCTGAGCCATCCAGGCACCCCCTAATACCAATTTTAATTTTGTGTTTGGCTCTCTCTTTTTTGTTATTTTTTAACCTTTATCCATGTTTTTGAGAGACAGAGGCAGTGAAAGTAGGGGAAGAACAGAGAGAGAGGGAGACACAAAATCCGAAGGAGGCTCTAGGCTCTGAGTTGTCAGCACAGAGCCCGACGTGGGGCTCAAACCTACAAACAGTGAGATCATGACTTGAGCCGAATGGATGCTTAACCAACTGAGCCATCCAGGCACCCCATAATTCTGTGTTTGGCTTTCTTTAATTTATCCTCCATTTCATCTCTCTCTCTCTCTCTCTCTCTCTCTCTCTGTGTCTCTCTCTCCATCTCTCTCTCCTTCTCAGATCCTCCTTCTCTTACTCTCTTGAGTTGGCATTTCTACTTGCATTTCATATCGCTCAGCTTTTCTTTTGTATTTTCCATTTCGTTTTCTTTTCTACTGTGTTTTAGACTAATTCATTCTTAATGGCATCAATTCTACTGATCAACTCTATAAAATGTCCTTTACTTCAAATATATTTCCATGCTTAATATTTCCACTTGGTTTTCCTAATCTTGTTGAGTGTTTTTATTATGTTTTAATTCTCATAATAACTCTTCGATTTTTCTTCTTGGAATATTCTAGGAGTTATTGCGTTTTAGAGGGGTTACCTTTTTCAGGTCCCCAGCTACTTTACATGTTCTCCAGGCATCAGTGACCTCATATAGTATCATGACTGAAGGCCAATTTTTTTTTTTAATTTTTTTTTACCTTATTTATTTTTGAGACAGAGAGAGACAGAGCATGAAAAGGGGAGGAGCAGAGAGAGAGGGAGACACAGAATTCAAAACAGGCTCCAGGCTCTGAGCTGTCAGCACAGAGCCCGACGCGGGGCTCGAACTCACGGACCATGAGATCATGACCTGAGCCGAAGTCGGACGCTCAACCGACCGAGCCACCCAGGTGCCCCTGAAGGCCAATGTTTTAATTTGAGGAGACATCATGACCTTGGAGTACAAGACTGTGAGTTATAAACACAACAGACTACTGTCGGCAGCCCCTTTCTGTTTCTACCTCACGGGAAAGCTTCTCTGGTCCAGAATTCAACCTTAAAGGCTATGAAAAAAGCAGTACTTGGACAAGGCCATCTTTTTACATTATAATCCCAATCCATGGGGTTTGTGAGGAGAGGAAATAGAAGAATTAATATAATAAGGTTCCTGGCTAGCTTGCAAGCGTACTATTTTAAAATGCAATCTAGGGGCGCCTGGGTGGCTCAG